TCAAGCACATGTAGGCATGTTTTAATTTTGGGATTCATTGAAAGAAAATTTTTTTGTAGTTTGAAATATGCTTTTAAAGCCTTTTTATATAAATCACCTTGAGCAAAGGAGAAAATGCCTGATGCACTGAAGTATATACCAAGATATCTACAATGTTGTACACATTCAAGGTTATAGTCTTGATATTTAAAAATATATTTGATATGTCTGCTCGCTTTGTTGAAGACCAGAATTTTTGTTTTCTGTGGATTTAGGGTAAGACACCAATTTTGGCAGTATTTCTCTAAGATGTTAAGCTTGGACTGTAATCCTTCTGCTGAGGTAGATAATAAAATAATGTCATCTGCATACATCAAACAATGTATAGGGGAGTCATTTATGAAAACAGGGTCCATTGATTTTTCAAGGTAGTTGGGAAGATCATTTATGAAAATCTTAAACAGGTTTGGGCTAAAATTATCTCCTTGTTTAACCCCTAATTTTATTGGAAAGAAATCTGTTACACTGTTTTCAATTCGTATGCAAGACCTGCTAACTTTGTACATTTGTTTAATAATATTATAGAATAGTGAGCCTACTCCAGCTTCAAGTAGCTTGATTTTCAGTCCTGTTTGAATAACACTATCAAAAGCTTTCAGGAAGTCAACAAAGCAAGCAAACACTCTACCTTTCTTTCTTTGACAATATTCATCAAGTATACATTTGAGAATAAACATATGATCGGTGGTTCTAGCACTCTGTGTAAACCCCACCTGACACTCATGAATTATTTTGTTTTTTGTTAAAAAATCACCAAGCCTTTTATTTAATACGCTATTGAATAGCTTACCAATGGCACTAGTTACAGCTATACCTCTATAGTTGTTTGGATCTGATATATCATTTGCTTTATATATAGGAACTATGAACCCATCTGCCCACTGTTTAGGATAATTACTGCTAAACAAACAAGCATTAAATAATTTTTGAATACATGGAATCAGAACTTGTTGGCCACTTTTTAACATATTGTTAGTAAGGCTATCAAGACCAGGTGCTTTATTCCATTTTAGGTTTGAAATTGCTTTCTGAATTTCATTTCTGGAGATGGAATTATCTAATTCGTTAAAAATCTTTTGCTTCTCTAGAGTGTCAAGTACATTTTCCAGATGTATAATGCGATCCTTAAAATTGCCTTTGATCTCATTAAGTTTTTGAAAGTGTGATACCCAAGTTGATGGATCAACGGCAGAGCTTCTTTCCTCCCCTTTTTTATTGCCCCGAAGTCCATTTAAAAGATGCCAATACTGTTTGGGATTCTTATCGTGTAAAGTGTCTAGCTGTTCAAGAATCGACTGTCTATATTTTCTGTATTTTAATTTCCTTAATTTTCTGTACTCCCTATAAAGCTTATAAAAGTGATTTTTCACTGAACGGTCTTTTGGAAATTTTGAGTACACTTGACCATATCTTAGCAAATTATTATGGGATTTTTTCAAATCTAGATCATACCATTTTTTGTGTTTTGGTTTGTTACAAGTCTTATATTTTTTCTTTTTCTTGAGCGAGGCATTAGCTGCTGATAAAATCAACTCAGTAAGCTCTGCTGCAGCTTCATCAACTGATATATGAATTCCATCAATACATTTCTCACTATATGCAGACAGTTTAGTTTGTAACCTTTCTTCACACAATGCAAGTTGAAATTTATATGATGAATCATCATCCCAAATATATTTTGGTTCAAGCTGGTAAATATTCCCATCTGTTTTGATTTGCTGGATATTGTATGAAGCTGTTATTGTCCATTCAAGCTTGCAGTGTGTGTCTGAAAGGATTGGAATAAAATCATTCACTTTAAAATGTAAAATTTGATCCAGGATATCTTCAGACACTATAACATAGTCTACAACGCTAGCCCCATTTGGAGTATAACATGTGTAGTGGCCAAACATATCCCCAAGGACTCGACCATTTAATATGCGTAACTTATTGCTAATGCAGCAATCAATAAGTTCTTTGCCCCTACTATCAATTATTTTATCTGGACTTTGCCTGTTTATCAAATTCCTGTCAATTGGTTAGTTGTCAAAAATAGGTGCAAAATATTCATCATCTTGAACAATAAAATCTGGCTCTTCAGCTACCCTGGAGTTAAAATCTCCACATAGAAGAATGTCACCCGTATTTTTATAAATACACATATCTGCTTCGATACAGTCAAGAATATCTTTGTCTAACCTCTGGGTATATGTAGAGCCACTAGGTGGATAATATACAAAGCAAATAAACAGATCTTTCTTAAAACCAAAGAAGTTTTTTTCCAGTTTAACCCATTGGTAATCGGGATTTGTGTTTTTTTAAATTTTGATATGATCTTTTAAATCAGGTTTTCGTAAAATTGCCAATCCTCCAAAATGACGTTGGTTGTGTTTGGATGCTGCTCTACATATTGTATGAACATGAAATTGACCAATATTTTGAATATTTGATTCATTACCCAAATGAGTTTCAGCCAACAAAACAAGATCATACTTGTTAATTTCTTTTATAAACAAGGGATCTTGTGTTTTGTCATAGTATTTTGACTTCAACCCCCCAGTGTTCCAAAAACACATTTTGATAGATGATTTGAATCCTGTGTTATTTTGCATTCTATTAATTTAAAACAAACTTGTTTAAAATAGTCAGCAAAAGAGTAAAGTATTCTTCAATGTAGTATAATTAATGATCTACACTATATCAACTATAACTTGGAATGAGGGTTTAGTATCTTAAACCTCCAAATCAGTAAAGGAAAAAAAAATGTATATTCAAGTATATGTATATATATATATACAAAATATATCAAACAAAAGAAAAAAAAACAAACACAAAAAAAACCCCTAAGACTAGTTACACTATAATATAGCTGATACTATATACTATCTGTATGGATGTAAGAAAAATGTGTAGACAATATATAGAATCACACTTTATACATATCAGAATGAGCTTTTTATCTTTTTCCATTGCCTCGACCTCTGCCACTTTGTGGTTTTCTCCCTCTTGATGCGCTCCTTGGGCGTCTTACAGGTGATGGGATGTTCAGCATGGAGTGAATGGCTCTTTTTAAGTTCACCGCCAGTAAGGATAACCCTTTGTCATTTAGGTGTACGCCATCATCTCGAAGGACATCTTGGTTTGGGTTCCCGTGTACCAACATGTTATTGTGATCTGCCAAAGTAATTCTGTTTTCACCTGTGAATTTCTGTTTGAGGAGGGCATTTATTATCTGCCCATTGGTTGAATGGTTCATGTCATCACATCTTGGTGTAGTAAGTGAAATCACAATTTTAATTAATGGCCACTTGCTGCAGATTTCAGAGGTCAGTTGAAACAAACTATCGACGCATGCTTGTGGTGTTTTAGACCTCAAATCATTAGTTAGGGAATGGAGCACAATAAGTGTTGGTGGATCCACAACTGATGATAAATACTGGGATGTATCCTTAATGGTATACTTGATAATTTTGTGTATACCCACAGAACTTGACAACTTGTCTTCCTTTATGCCTTCCACATTTGAGGTTCTAATCAAAAGTACAGTAGGACGTTGATGGCTGTCAATGTCTTGCATAGCTGACTGAAACTGGGGTTGATGTACGCTTCCTGAAAACTGTATTTTCATTTGTATAATTTCATCTCTTGCATTATCAAGTTTCATGGACAATTCTTTTAAACTGTTATTTAGCCTGTCAATTTCGTCATTTTTGTCTTTTATTTGCCTTGAAAACACTTCTTGTTCTTCACGGGCATTTGAGATAGTTACTGTAAGTTGTTCTCTCGTTGCTTGGAGTATATTTTTTTCTGTTACCAGTAGTTTTTCTAGCTGCTCTTCTCTGAGTGCCGCATTGCTTTTTTCAAGTTGAATCTGAACTTCTAGGTGGGTTTTCTCATCTCTAATTGTTCTGATTTTATTTTGTAGTGTATGGATCGTTTCACCTGACAATTCTTTTGATTTTTCTTGTTTTTTATCGCATAATTTGTTTTCAATGTCTGTTAATGTCTTTTGGATTTTCTCTGTATTTGTAGCTACACTTTTTTCTAGTTTTAGAAGAGATTCTGCAAATACGGATTCTAGTCTTTGGATATTAGCAACGTCTCCTACCTGGGTTTCAGTACTTTTGTTGAAGGATATGCATTCCGCGCTTAGACTCTGTGAATTATTGCTACTTGTAACAATAATTTTGGGATTTGTTTCTTCATGTTTTTGTTCTGTGTCGCTTTCCTGTAGCATTTTAAGAGGACCACAAATTTTGTGTACTATTCTCAAAATTATTGGGAAGTCTTTCACAGCAAAATCATTGTGGCAAGTTCCTTGAACTTGAATAAGTCCTGACTTAATGAAGAAAGTAACTTTGTAAATTCTTTCATTATTTAGATCTTTACATCTTTACATCAATTGTTACTTTCTGTAAAGGTTGATGCGAGGATATGGTTGAGGGGGTGTCGACCCAAGAGACGTTCTTGTCATTTTGTTTTCCCATGATGTCATAGAAATAAATGTGTAGGGCTTTAAGCCACGCTTGAATTCTTTCGAACGTGGTTCTATATGCAATCATTCGGGCTTCTGTCTCATAAATCGTACTATCTATCTCTTTGGTATACAGCTAGTAAAATGGGGTGAAATATATAACGTCAGTGGCTTTGAATTGAGGTTGGATATCATAATCAATTTAATTCAGTGCTTCCACAACAATATCAATCTAATATTTATAATAACATTGTAAAACAGGAGGACCGTTACCTACAATACTTACTTTTGTCGCTAGATTGAAGTGCATGAAATTATATATATATATATATATATATATATATATATATATATATATATATATATATATATATATATATATATATATATATAGTAACGAATTTCAAGGAAACTAGTCATTGAAATAAACATTATTCTCATCGACAATATATCATAAGTAACAAGGATATGATGAGCAGTTGAATCATCTGTTCTTTTCTGATTATCTATATTTATTTATCCAGCACTACAAACATGTTTATTGCATTTGAGAATCTTTTACACGTTTTTTGCAAAAATTTCACAAAGACTCCATTTCTCATTACTTCCATGACTTGCCATGAAGAAAATTATTTCGTCACATTCTACCAAGCCTGAGCACGGACAATGATACCCGCAGTCACGTGATGATCCATCTGGTCCCTCAACGTCATACAGCAAACTGCAAAAGTTTGCTTCGCCACGAAAACCACTTTTTAAACTCTTCGAAAAAGAAACCTGGAAAATTACATTAAACTTTTTAATTAAAAAAAAAACGTGACGCTTTTTTCTTTTATATTTTCATTTTGTCATGTTTAATATGTAACGTTATATTGTGATTGTTAGATTTATTGAATCGGTCTTAGTCTAATAAAGCATATTGAGAAGATGAAATTAACGGACAACATTATCGTGTCCTTAGGACAACAAAAAGGAGTGGGGTCGTAGTTGACCATTTTGGAAAACAGCAGGTCATTGCCTTACTTTCCTCTTTAAATAACGTTTTTTTTTTCTCTATTCCATTAATAACAATTTCCACCCAAAACATTCCAACAATGTCTTTTTGAGAATCATAATTTTCTTTCCAGGTGATAACCAATGGACGCTTAATAAGGTAGTGAAACGGAAATGGTTTCTGTCGTTTAGTTTCGTAAAAAACGTTCGATATACGTTTTTATTTCATTTCTTATACACAAAAAAATATTAATTCTGCGATCATATGAGTAGGTCGAAACTGCCGAGGTACTGAGACTGCACTGAAATAGTACACGCTGTATTATAGTGGTGAAGATACCTCTCTGGTTGTTAAACCTTGGCTGTTTAACCCCTTAAACATTGTGATAAGACATGAATAAGGCACACAGTTGCGGGGGATAGGCAGTAAAGGTTATATCATTAGCCAACACATAAGACTTGTATAAGGCAGTAGGTTAGGAAGGAGAGAGGTGGCATACCACAGAAGTGGGGGAAGTGCCAGGAAGCAGCAGCACCTGTGGAGTGGCAGGACCAGAGAAATTTATTTGCGGGAGATACCCGTTGACCACAGATAGTGGTTGGCCAATCAAGAAGAAACGGTTTACATTTGCATTAAAGTTTTTTTTAACAAATGCTTGTCGTTATTTTCTTTCTCAGGTACCGTTAACGGTAGCTCAGTCGGTAGAGCGCTCGCTCCGGGGTCGGGAGGTCGGAAGTTCGAATCTCGGCCGCGACTGACCTAAGTCGACAAAAAATGGGTAGTAACTGTTCCTTCGCCATGCGCTCTGCACTTTGAAGTGAAAGTTGCGGGTCCTTCGGCTGAGACCTTCACAAGAGGCCTATGGGCCACATCGCTCACCTGAGCACTGTGGCTAGGAAAAAAGCAAAACTCAGTTCAGTATTGAAAAGCTTACATGCATATATGGTCCCGACCTACCCTTAAAAGGGGGGGGGGGGTTGAGGGTATGGTTTGAACAAAATTGAATCTACTCTAACTAAGGATGCTTACATATTTCTTTGACAAACTGTGGCTTCTTTTCCTACAAGTTTAAACTTTCACTGTTGCCCCACCCTACCCCCGGGGGTCACGATTTGAATGAACTTGAATCTACACTATCTGAGGATGCTTCCATATAAATATGACCAATCACGGCTTTGCTGTTCTTGAGAAGAAGATTTTTAAAGATTTTTCCTATATATTTCTATGTAAAACTTTGATCATCCATTGTGGCCACACCCTACCCCCGGGGGTCATGAATTGAACAAACTTGAATCTACACTACCTGAGGATGCTTTCAAATACATATGACCAAACATGGCTTTGCTGTTCTTGGGAAGAAGATTTTTGAAGATTTTTCCTATATACTCCTATGCAAAACTTGGATCGTCCATTGTGGCCCCCCACCCAACCCCTGGGGGTCATGAATTGAAAAAAATTGAATCTACACCACCCGTGGATGCTTCCATATAAATATGACCAATCATGGCTTGCTGTTCTTGAGAAGAAGATTTTTGAAGATTTTTCCTATATACTCCTATGAAAACTATGATCGTCCATTGTAGCCCCACCCAACCCCTGGGGATCATGAATTGAACAAATTTGAATCTACACAACCTGAGGATGCTTCCATATAAATATGACCAATCTTGGCTTTGCTGATCTTGAGATGAAGATTTTTGAAGATTTTTCCTATATACTCCTTTGTTAGACTATAATCGTCCATTGTGGCCCCACCCTACCCCCGGGGGTCATGATTTGAACAAATATGAATCTACACCACCTGAAGATGCTTTCAGATAAATATGACCAATCATGTCTTTGTTGTTCTTGAGAAAAAGATTTTTAAAGATTTTTCCTATATACACCTATGTAAAAATATGATCGTCCATTGTGGCCCCACCCTACCCTCAGGGGTCATGATTTGAACGAATTTGAATCTACACTACCTGACGGTGATTCCACATAAGTTTCATCTTTCCTGGCCCGTTGCTTCTTGAAAAGAAGATTTTTAAAACATGCCATTAATTTTTCACTATTTTGTAATTATCTACCCTTGGAAGAGGGCGTGGCCCTTCATTTGAACAAATTTAAATCCCCTTCACCCAAGAAAACTCTGTGCCAAGTTTGGTTGAAATTGGCCCAGTGGTTCTGGAGAAGAAGATGAAATTGTGAAAAGCTAACGACAACGACATCGCCGACGACAACGACGACAGACAACGGACAAATTTTGATCAGAAAAGCTCACTTGAGCCTTCGGCTCAGGTGAGCTAAAAACCGAGGCCCCGTGTCGCGGTAGGCGTTGGCACGGTAAAGATCCCTCACTGCTCAATGGCCCCGAGTGCCGAGTAAAAGTCAAAATTTGAAGCCCTTCCGCGGTATATGGTGACGTCTCTATATGAGTGGAAAATTCTCGAATGGGACGTAAAACAATATGCAATCAATCAATCTTTCTCAGGTAACCAATCATTCCCAATGGTCAGATTTAACTAGCACTAGGGTTAAGTTAACGCTAATGAGATATCATATAAGGTACCGGTTTAGATGAAGAGCAAACTGGAAAGTTGGAATCCGCTAGAGAGAGTGTACCAATTTACCTGCCGTCAACTTAAGCCATCAAAATAGGTGACATTAAAGTGTTATACTAATACATAGTAGCTTCATGTTCAAATAGTACTGCATTAAATAAAAAAGATAAACTGAATTTTTATAGATATTGACTTTTCTATCACTATAATTTACATTTTACCTGTAGAAGTTTCTGCCCATGTCGCTGACAAGAAATACCCATTCCTCTTACTGTGACATTAAACGGAGCAGGAGAAATTCTAAGTAACAGTGTTTTCATTCTCATCCAAAGTAATGGCGGGTTTTCTCCTTTAACTGGTAGATCAATACAAGAACTATTTTCCTGATCTAGTAGCATATATAAATTCGACGAGATTGTTTCGTGTATGTCGTTGAAAATTTCCGGGCTTTCTACAGAAATGTTACATAATGATGTTGTTGTGTTACCCAGAATAGCTGACACTTCATGATTATCGCCAAATGTGATTTTTTCTGGAACAATTCTCAAGTCAGCGCTCACGGTGAGATTTACTTTAGAAGACACAGAACTTGCAACACGATCCACATACTTGAAAGATACGAGGGCTTTATTTTGGATTGAAAAAGAATTATTAAAGTAGTCAACATCAAATCTATAACAGGCGGGATATGGTGTTTCGAGAATATACTGAACGTTTTCAATAACCACTGCCGACTCTCTATCACCTGTCAGCTTCTTTGTAAGAATGGTGAGATCTAGTTTATCTGCTCTGCCAACTGGAATTTCTAACTTCAGTAAAATACTAGTATTTCTTGACTTCGGTAATGTTTCACACGGCAATTCATCAACAAGACTGACTTTTGATGAAACCTTAGAAATTTAAGGGGTAAAACATCACTTAAAAAGAATACATCTTTTTATTACATTTTCAACAGTGAAATACTGTGATTTATTTATTGAATAAAAGTGATATTCTCTCACAGTGTGAAAGGATACCAAAGTGATATTCTCTCACAGTGTGAAAGGATATCAACGTAAGTAAAAAAAATTTCTGGCCTGTAATTAGATAGAAATAGTGACTAAACTATCTTGATAGAGACTAAAACTATCAATTTCTTCCCAAATATGTTGCTAAAATCCATGTTACAATGTTTTCAATAGGTCTCATAACTGCTAAGCTATGACATCTCAACCGCTCAACTATGACGTCACAGCCTATAACGCTGTGTTAATTAAGAAAAGACAGAGACAAAGGGAAAATCAAAGAAAATGTAATAAACAGAAAATTCAATGTTTTTTAGTTGGATGTGGAATTTATTTCACTCGTGAGACAGGATTTTTTGATATTTTCACTCGTGCTTCGCACTCGTGAAAATAGAAAAAATCCTGTCCCACTCGTGAAATAAATTCCATATCCAACTACAAAACATTGAATATCCTCTATTTATATTCATATTAATATTTTTCCTCATGTAATTCTTTCACTCATATGCAATAAGAAGGACAAAATTCAAGCAGTCAGTCTGAAAAATAGACATAAAATAAAAAAAATTCAATAAACAATTTTATTATATAGTCTGTAAAAACTGGTAGTCCCTATATAATCTATACAAATGCAAACCGTTAATAATACTACATATTCACTGGATTTGAAGCCGTATTCCCCGGAGGGTCAGTGCAGCGGCATTGTGACGTCACAATCAATACATCAAACAAGGTTGAAAACAATAGTTGCAACGGCCGGAGCTATCTGTGTATTTGAGCAGGAAAAAATCGCAGGATTGTTTTCCAAACAGTTTGATGTCTTACACACAACGAAAGGAAAACACGGCACGGAAGTTATAAGTTGTTATCTGGACCTTTTTAAAAAAATTTCTATGACATACGTTTGTTAATGAAAATGGAATCGTCATACAACCTTCAAAGTCTTATTCATTCACATCCTGACTATATGATAAAACAATTATGGACTCTTTCGGTGGTGAATATGGTTTGTTATTCATCCAGTAAAATTTATACTTTTTTAATCTGTAGCACTGATCATTTGAGACCTCCCTCAAAAAGATGTGAAAAGTGGGCAAATAATTAACACACTTTTCTTTGTTTGACATTGACGTGTCACTTTTTACAATGACTATTCAAAAATATATCTAACCTTTCGATGCTGACATTTTGGCGCTATGTTGCAGCGACTATTCACTCTTCCAATACAGACTCATTAGTTCTGCCAACTGTGATTGTATGAATACATTTTCCTCAGCCATTGACAAATCACGTTTTAAAAGGTTTGTGAAAAAGTTTGCTTACACACTGCTTTATTTTTCTAGTGACTTTAAATGAACTATCGGCGGGAGAAATAAAAATAAAGCATGAATTAGGGACTTTTATTTTTATTTCATTTTAGCCCAATTAAGGATAGGTGTTCCAGTAAAAAAGGAAATAAAAAACGCTGGGCTAAAGTATTCAATTTAGACCAACAAGTCTATATCAAGCAGAGTAGAAAGTAACAATTAAACATAAAGAATTTGTATAAATAAGCATCCACTGACGTTATTCAACATCATACAGAGATACAAGAGGTCCAAGGGCTTTGAATCGCTCCTCTGATATATTGTACGACCTATTACTTCTTTTTGAAGTCTCTTGGTATTCTACATGTTAAGTAAGGCCTTGAAATTCCAAAAGTAGGTAATCATGACCTACATTTAATTAAAACACTCTGAGAAAGCAAGATGCATCAACTGACAAATTTTTATGATTCTAAACCATTATTATTTGAAATATTTATATATTGCCTTGAAATTTCAAAAGAAAGTCACTGTGACCTACTTTTCAGTTGACACATTCTGAGGACGCAAGATACATTAACCGACAAAGATTGTTGATAAGTAAACTTGATAAGTAAGTATCTGAAATATTTGATTATAGCAATCAAATTCAAAAAGTAGGCCACTGTGACCTACTTTCCAGTTGACAGACTCCGGGGACACAAGGGATAAATTTTGATGATTCTTAGAAATCTAAGCCAATAAGTATCTGAAAATTACAAAAATAGGCCATAGTGACCTACTTTTCAGTTGACACACTCTAAAGACCCAAGATACTTCATGTGACAAATTTTGATGATTCTAAGCCAATAAGTATCTGATAATCCATGTATTAAAATATAGCAATAAAATTCCAAAAGGAGGTCACAGTGTTCAACTTTTAAGTTAACACACTCTAAAGACACAAGATGCATCAACTGACAAAGTTTGCCGATTCTATGCCAGTTAGTTTCTGAAATATTCAAATATAGTCATAAAATTCCAAAAGTAGGTCACAGTGACCTACTTTTACTTGGCACACTCTAAGGACCCAAGATACATCAAGTGACAAAGTTTGCTGATCCTAAGCTAATAAGTATCTGAAATATATTGTTTTTAGATATAGCCATGAAATTCAATAGTAGGTCATGGTGACCTTTTCAGTTTACAACTCCATGGATGCAAGATACATCAAATGACAGTTTGATGATTCTAAGCCAGTCAGTATCTGAAATAATTAAATATAGCCATAAAACTCCAAAAGTATGTCACGGTGGCCCACTTTTTAGTTGACAAATTCCAAAGACCCAATATGCATCAACTGACAAAGTCTGATCATTCTCTGTCAATTTCTATCAAAAATATTTAAATATAGCCATAAAATTCCAAAAATAATTATCTCCCATTTTTTAAAGGTCACATCTCTATTTTTAGTGCAACGAGAGCCCTTGGGCCAAAGATACTCTGCGACAAATTTGACAGAAGTCCGTGTTTGCTCTGCACCGATTTGTATCCTTTCAATGGACTTCTGTTCTTGATAACTGTTCGTTATCTCCATATTTCATCAAATAAAGTTTGTTGCAAATTTTATTTGATAAAATGAAATGTGACAGTAGTGTATTAGTATGTGAACTTACGTTTAGAGATGGATCGGATACGATAAGGTCTACAGATGTATTCCATACTTGAGCATCATTGAGTATAATAGTTGCTGTCAACGTGTAATAGTTTTCGAACCCTCTCCTTGCTGTGTCGGACATCGCTACAAGTGCCTCAAACTCAAGAAGGTCATCATCTGTTGTATTTTTAGATTCATAATAACCTTCAAAAACACCAACACACTGTTATTTAGCACACCACCATTTCAAAATCACTAATTTTCAGAATGCTACTAAGAAAATTTATTTATATGCTTGATACCAAGTATTAAATTGACGTTAATTATGCCAATAAATTTCTCTAGAATTGTTCGGAATATGCATGAATCTTTAAAAAATATGTATTGTACAGTTTCTTGGATAAACAAACATATTGTGAATAAACTGTGCTACACCTACCCCTATTGATCCATTGGGAAGGAAATGTGTAAATCAATGGTTCTTGATTTGAAGACCATTTGTATTTACAGGCAGAATCATTTCTACCATCAGCACCCTAATAATATATCATAGAGTAAATATCTGCACAAGACAAGAAAGCTTTATATTGTCAAAGTTGTTAAATGTGCCGAGATTAATAGCCAGTAAGACATTTCCTTTTCCAAACCACACCTTGTATCACCCCAATACTTAAATATCACCCAGAGAACCTTCGGTCCTTTGGTGATATTGGTGTCTAGGACTCAAAAAGGGTGTAATCTGGAAAAGAATTTATGTTAAAACAGTTATTATAATGTTGCCCTTGGATAAAGTGTGTCATGGCCTAACCCAAAACAATAGTCAAAGGTCAAGATCATGGGTCAATGGTAGGTTGAAACCATGTATGGTGGGAAAAGTGGGAGAAGTACTTTTAAAATTATTTTTAGAAACAGAACCTATACAGGACAGAAGTCGATCATACATATTAATGTAAACTCACTGGAGAGAAGTTCTTGCCAACTCTTTTAACCTCCAGAAACAATGCAGAATAATTCGATTGAAATTTCTCATCTCCTTCCAACTTGACTTTAATTTGTGGATTGTAATATGGGATCCAAGCTCGGAATACGAATCCTTTAACCAGTTTTGGTTCAATATGCATCCAGGATGGTGTTGCAGGATCAAAAGATGCATTTTTATTCATTTCCTGAAGAAAAAGATTGACATTTATTTCTTATTTCCTTTTGGGATAGGAATTATAGCTCCACCATGATATTTAGTTGTTAAATAATTAAAGGCATTACTCTAATGAAATGTCTTCCATACAATGTATAATGTATGTATTGTTAAAAAAGGAACGAAAAAAATGTATCGGTGTAGTGAACTCTTGAATGTCTGTTCTAGTTGGTTCGGTACATCAATTTTAATTGATTGATTAATGTTGTTTAACGTCCCATTCGAGAATTTTTTACTCATATTGAGACGTCACCGTATGCCGGTGAAAGGCTTTAAATTTAGACCTATAATCGGCATTCAGAGCCATTGAGCAATGAGGGTTCTTTATTGTGCCAACGCCTGTCTTGGTGTGGGACCTCGATTTTTAATATTTCATCTGATAAACCCGTGACTTTCAATTCTAGTGCCGGGCGCTTCGAAAAGAAGCAGTCACTACCTGTTTTTACGTCTTAGGTTTGACGAGGCGCGGCAAACGAAGAAAATCGAGCCCGGGCCTCCCGATCACGAAGCGAGCACCTCACTAGCTAGGCTACCGTTACCGGTTTTTAATTTTTATTAAATTCAGTTATAATGAATGAAAATTGAAATTCTGGATTTAGAAATTTACTTTGAATTGTGAAGTAACGGAGTTTGATAAACAAAATATGCAGTCGTTCAACTTTTTGAGAGGTTACATGTATGTGTGTGATATTTTCCTATCTAAGAATACTTAAAAATAAATATATAATATCTACCAGAATCGATATCCTTGCTATGAGTACTGCGTCAGTCTCAAAATTCTGAACAACTGATGCTGATGATGTAACCTGTACCAAACAGGGTATAGAGACGTTTTGTCCGTCGGTAAGGTTCACTGCATTATGAAGGTATATTTCGTAGTTACAAATTAGCTGATAATCACTCGGGGTATCAGAATATGTCACATTGACGGATTTTGTGATGAATGACATCTCACGAGTTCTCAGAAATCCTGTCTGAAATTGAATCATTTAAAGTTACATTTCTTCAACGAGAGAGAGAGAGAGAGAGAGGTTAATTTTCTTGCCGAGAATTACTTTCTTCATCATTTTAGAAATTATAGTTTAAAGAGAGTCATCTTGATTTAAATTTTATCTAGTTGAAAATAATGTCAATCGATGAAAAAAGCCAACTAGAAAGAAAATTTGCAAGTACAAGCATGCAGAACTGTAAATACCACGACAGTGATTTTTTTAAACAAAAATTCCCAGAATAGGTTTTTTAAGGTGGGTGGGTAGAGTCACATATACTTTGTAGGAAAAGTATCCTCGCAATGTTCCGTGCAAATATAAATGAATTGATTTTCCTATCTTCAAAGGTCATTGAATATTATCTATTCGCTTTATTATGTATAAATGTTATTTATGTATTTTTCCTCTAGATTACAAATTTATAGGTTAGAAATTGTAGATTGATTTATTACATTGGATCGTAATTTGATATAGGAATAAAGATAACAATTTTATGGGAGAAAAGTTTTCGATATAATCACGATTAGATACAATTTTTGCTCCTGGTGTTTTATTATTAATTCATTATGATCATCTAATAAGTAGCATTGCATAACGTGTAAATTATTGAAATAACTATTGATGACGATTCTACATGCATGATATATAATAGTCAAAAAAGTACAGAAGCCCATAAAGGACCTATTAAAAATATTTTTAAATTCAAAATAACGAATTGTCGAATTTTCTGAACGAATTTGATCTGTTATTACAATTTTTTTGAATTTATTTTAAAAATTGATTTTGATATAGCAGATTTGTGGAATTCATTATGACTTATTCAAAAATTTTAAATAAAAGATTGAATTCGTTTAAACGAAATCCGAAATTTGCTATAACTAAATTAATTCGTTTAAACGAATTCCAAAGTTTGTTTTATCGAATCATAAATATTTTTCTGTAGGCCTTAAATGTCTAATTCACTCAAACGAATTTAATTCGTTATAACAGATTTTAAAGTTTCCTTATAGCAAAAAATTTTGGAATTCATTTTTACACATTAAATCTCTTAAAACAATTTTGTGAATTTGATATAATGAATTGAGCAAATGTGTTATAACAACTTCAATAAGAAACAAATTAAAATTATTTTTAAATTCGTTTTAACACATTCGTCATTTCGGTCGAATTCAAAAAATATTCTTTGATAGGTCCTGAATGGGCTTCCGTAATAAAAGAATAAGCTATTCATATAAACATATCGACTTACATTTTCAAAATTCACTGAACTCTTTTCGGACGTTTCCGCCTGAATAACCCTTCCTAGTACACAAGACTGACCCTCTACATCGATGTTTTGTATACCCTGACTGACAGTAAGTGTGACCTCCTTGTAATAGCCTTGAGGATAGGAGACATACACCTTCAGTTTCATTTTCATTCCAACATACATTTCAGTTTCATTCTCAGGCGTCCATACAACAGATATTTTAAAGTCGTAAGATTGCAGATCTGAAAAGATTCACATGCAATATGCATAATACTAAAATATTAATCGTTTTCGTGGTTATAGAAAGTAATAATTTTGTAGCATTAAAAAACGTTAATTAACGTAAATTTTCTTCATACAAAGAAAATATATTATCAACTATTTTGAATAAACAACTAATTCACTTATTATAAACTTTTTTTCATTTCTAATTCAATCTACTTATTTTTTATAAATCACAGAATAATAGAATTTACAGTGGATTCACTTTTTACTGTTCCATTTATCTCTAATGCTGCGGTTGTCCCATTTTGCACCATTGAGATTAATGTTGTTGTATCTTGCGACCCAGTGTGTATTTCATCAGAAACAAGTATCACATTAGATGTTGTCTCCGACTGCGACCCTGTAACATACATATACGCTTTGTTTAAGTTGACAAGTTAAAAAAAATAACACGTTTAAGTTGAAAGCGTGGGAGGTTATTTACAGCAGGTTTTGTTCGTCATTCTTTTAATGTTTGACGATATGAGTGACAAGTTTATATTCTATATTTAGGAATCAAATGAACATTATCAATTCTTCTTTTACAGATTTGAAGAAAAAAAACAGGGAAAAGAAACTTTTTTCAATTTTAAATACAATTACACAAAACATCATAAAACAAGGGAAGACCATTTAGGACCTGTGAAACAACATATCTGACTTCGATAAAACAAATTGTCGAATTTCGCTAAATCAAAATCAATTCGTTATATCGAAATTCGTTCATAACGATTTTTCTTTAAAATTGTTCTAACAGATCAAATTTGCTTGAAAGAATTTTAAAAATTCTTCTTACGAATTAATTCGTTTAATCGAATTCGACGTTCAAGGCTTATAGTACAATATTTATGAATCCGAGACAACGAATTGGGGTGATTTAAAAAAAAAAAAATGACCAGACACATATTTATCAACCTGCACTATAAATACAGGCAATGGGAATAAATGTCTACGTCTTAGCATATGTCTTTTGATATTGTCTAAATACCTGCCAGATATCTCATTGATATCTCAAGTCATAAAAAAGTTACGTCCAAAAATGATTCTAAAAATTCAGGTGTGACATTTTCAATATTTTTTGAAGATCTGTGAAATAAAAAATAATGATTTATGTTGGAAATAAAGACTTTCCTGATAATACTCAAAGCATTCAGCTTTAAATGAAGACAGTAGCAACTTTTGTTTTACCAAGTTGTGGTCTGAAAAAAAGTTATACCATTTCAAGAGTGCAACAGAAAAAAATGGAGTGTTGCCAAAAAAGCATCGATTTGAAAAATCTTTAAGACAATTAAGTCTAATAAGAATTTTCAAAGAATAAAACAGTAACTGATACTAGTATATCATTTAAAATCTAAAAATGGTATATAAATCATAAGAAGCATTAATGAGAGTCATGTATCTGTGCATAGTGCATACCCAATGATGTCAGGAGTACAACATGTTTTACTCTCTAGCATGGAAAAAAACTTTTACATTATATGATTCTTTGATTTCTATTTTGGAAAATAAAGACAGAAGAACATTTTTACATATATATTTATCAATTACAGGGTATGTCTGTGTTACGGGTCTATATAAGTGCAACACATTTTTTTAAAGATCCAAGTTATATGATGAAAAGACTTTTATTCATACTAATCAATATTCTTTAATCAATAATGATCTACATGTATTTAAATATTTTACTTCTAAGTTATTGACAGTTTTGTTATTAAAATCTGTCTCTTTTCCAATTTTATTAATCCAGATGTGTTTTTACCTTCTCTTTGATTTTTTTTTGAATGTAAAAAAAAACCCACACACACACACTGACAAATTGTCATAAAATTTAAGTAATTCCACCTCAACTTCAGTGAAACAACAGAACAACAGAATTCTGATGTAATTTATACTTCACAATTCCACTTTAAAGACTCGCATGCTTTTGGTCTGGGGTGCAACAAAAATGTCGGAATTATTTCTGATTAAATATGAATTAATATAAAGAAAAAATGGATAAGAAGAATGTTTCTGGTTGACCTCAATTGCTTACAGTGTTTTAACCATGACGGAAAATATACTTTTAACTTCTAAATATACAATTTAGCTAGTTTTTATTCTTTTACATATAAATAGGGATTTTTCAAGATATAACATCAAGTTCATACTTTCATATGTTAATTATATAGATTTATTAAGTTATTTCTACCTACTCAGTTGATCTGCGAGTGAATGGTAAGGGCTTTAGGCATTATTTCAGATAGAAAAATATATTTTCAATGCATTAATACATATTAAAAGAGGACTTTTAAAAAATGTGTACTTACTTAGTATAATTTTTTGCAGGAGGTTTATAAACTCCAGACACAGATATTATATGACCTAAATTGAAATCTCATACACACATGTACAACCCTAAGTTGTATAAATGCTTTACACTCATTGAAGTCCAATTTACTTTTATTAGTCTATTATTCATAATTGATCTTGTATTATAAAGATGGATCATATTTAATTGTCGTTTGGTTGCCCAAATTAGAGTTCACGCTGAAATGTTAAATGAATTACCCCTGAATACAGGATTTAAGTAACATTTTAAATTTTTTTTTCTAATTTCATCAAATAGCCGATAATTTATTCCCAATTCCCCAAAAATGGTGTTTCCCAAAATAGGCTGATAAATTCATGGATAATAGTTAGGCCAATTTAGTGTTGAGAGATACATCTTAGTTGAAGTAACGCTGACCGGTATTTCACTGGATAAATTCAAATTCAATAAAACATTTGTTAATTTATAGAAGAAAATTCAATATACAAATCTTTGCAAATTTCATACTCAATTGAGATCAAAGCCCTTTGAATTACTAAGTAAATAATGAGCATTGCCTACTGTGCAGGTACATAACAAAAATTTAAAGAAGGACTTGATTGAGAAATTATTAGGCTTTTGTGCCGCAGATTGAACATTAAATTTGATAGCTGCATGATCAAATTATTATAACCTTTATTTCAACGTCAATTACTTTTGACATTGTTAAACAATTAAATTGTATTTTTCTTCAATCTAAATTTAATTTAAATTTGGATCCTTATTTTTAGTTTGTGGGGATACCTAGGTTTATAACACATCACATATCACTGAAGAGCACAAAAAGAAGTTGAACATCATGAACCAAGCACTGATTGACAAACAAAAATCAGAACTATATGTAAATGAAAATGACATTCAGTCTAAAGTTAGAAATGAATCAAAATTAAATAAAAAGAGTTATGTGATCTAGACAATAAAACTTAAAAGTACTATTGACGTGTATTATTTTTATTAAAATAAACATTGCTGGTATTTTAAAATGAAACTGTTGAATCCTAAATTATTTTTATTTTTTGACCACCCAATGCATTTTTTGAGAAGAAAATCGTAAAGCAAAAAAAAAAAAAAATAATAATAATAATAATAACTTTTTTCAAAAAATTCAAATTTGTGGTCCCGGTGTTTTTCTCTTATTATTTCTATCAAAATATATCTATATTAAAAAAAAGATTTTCTTCACCAGATTCATTTCGATTGTTAATGTCAAATACCAATCTGTCATTAATATTAAATAAAAGCTTATCGCTTAAATCTGAATCAAACACATTTGTATTCATATTTTAAAGTATCGATGAAATTAAATATTCTTTTATTGAAAATCTCATAAAACACTGGTATCGTAGACGTTACATAATTAATGTAGCAATTCATCACCTGTTACATATGTAATTGTATCGAGATTTTAAAAAAGACTCTGTCGGAAATATCGAATTTAGCTCATTTAAAAATAATACAGGTTCTTTAAGCTCTTTTGCATTGGCCTTTGATTCGACCTTTGGATATATCGACGACGTTTTTACAATTTACAATATTCATTTTCGTTCCTAGGTTGATTCAATATATCCCTGTGAACTCCAATAAAACATCGAATAGTCCAACACATCTGTTTCATATCTTGATATTTTACTATAAAATTGGAAAACTAACATAAAAAAATTATGATAAAGTTGATGACTTTACTATCGTCAACTTCCCTATTTATGCAGTAATATACCATGTTCACCTGCGTATGAAGTTGATGTCCCTCAGTTGATTTGATACGCAAGAGTATATTCTACGTATAAATAATTCTATTGAATAGGATCAAATAACAGTATAAAATAGTACTGGAAATTAATAAGAGATATCGCAAAATATTTTACTCGTATTTATTATATTTCCCTAGTGTTTCATATATTCTGTAATTCATTAGCTATAGCTATCCTGGACGCTAATAAGAGTGTGTGACAACCCCCTTCTAGATAGCCTATGCTACGCTAGAAATAGAATACATGTATTTACATGAAGATAGATTTCCACCATTTTTCTGTCTTACGTTAATGTGTATCACCTCCCTCGTCAAAATATTTTTAAAATTATTTTGTTCTTCGCGTTTGGTGGTGGTTTGTATTCAAAAGGACATACTCCTTTCTCCTCCTGCCCTATATAATTAATTTTTAATCCACCCCTTTTATCTTTGTTAATTGGTGTGTATACGCAGTGTTTGAAACTCACCGTAAAGTTAGCTAGACATGCAGGGCTGACTGCTAGTGAAAGTTGTCAGCCCTACCAAAAATCCTCTAGTCCGAGGAAATAATTGTCTTTTATAAATTTGTTTTTAGCGATAACGTGAATGGGGCAATATCACCATAACGTCGATTCTGAATCTATAGGCTAAGGAATTCTACCCCATGTACATATTACACTTTGCTACCTATACTAAACGTTGATCTGAGAAAGAATTATGAATTTTAATTTAAGGGAACTTTTAACACGTCCAGCCGGGCGTCGATTCATGCAAATCTGTTCGCCCATGGCAAAATTTGTGCGTCTCGGGCGGCCGGGCGCACAGTTATTTCAAACACTGGTACACGTATATTGAAGAAATATCATCAGATGAGCAGAGACAATGAGCACCCAGCAGTAAGCAGCTGGCATTCATGTATCTCCCATTATCTGAGATTGATTTTTTTTTTCAATAATATGTTTACATTTTTTGACAATTAGGAACCATTTTCATCGGATACATCTTTCTTATCAAAATATTTTCAGCTTCTTGTATTTCGTTACTTATACATGTATATTATTTGAAAAAAAAAATCCCATAAATAGTTTCCAAAACATATTATTCGAAAGGAGTGTGAGCTATTGAAAGGAGAGTGTTTAATTAAATTTCTTAATTTAAAAATTAAACTAATGTTCTCAAGTTTTTTTTTAATGAAAGATCTGGCCAGATTATGTGATATCATTAGAATATACATTAAAGAACTTTGCGAAATTTCACTTCGTTTTAGATGGAATTGTGGGCAGTAAATTGTATTTAAAGGGTTTTGTTTGCAATAAGAAATACATGTAAGTAAATATTTTGTTTACGTAGAGAAAAGAAGAATTCTCCAAAGGAATCACAAAATACTC